AGTATTTTTGAGATAAATTATTTTGACAGGTAATAAATAAATAATTTGAAATTTAACTTTTAGTTGTAGTTTATTTATTTACCAATTAACAGATCTGCATCATAAATAAATTTAATTTTAGATCGTTAATAAGATGGTTCGTTCAGCTATGCATCACAATTTGATAAATTATTTCAACAATATTTCATCAACATTATTAATTATTTTTACATCAAAATAAACTGAAAGTTGAAATCTGTAAATGTCATTCAATATGTTTTTTGGTTTTTTAAATAAACTTTTCATTTGGAAAATGGAATATATATATTTATTACAGTAACTAAAAGTAATTCAATTCCATTCAACTTCCTTTATTCTGTCTACATTTTTCTTCGTCAGAAAATTCCAATCATTTTTTTTTTCAGAAAATAAAAAAAAATAAGAAATTAATAATTTTCTTTTGCTAAGTGTGCAATTTCAAATTTCGAACGAATCAAATTCATTCTTTTGAATTTTTATTTCCAATAGTCCTATTAATAAAGTCCATTTGAATTTGAAAATTCAACATATTGTATTTAGTATGAATTAATTATATTCTTTCTCATTAAATTTTGAATGGATTTGCTAATAAAGTTAATTAGAAATTTAATTTTCTCGTTTTTTTTTTCTTTTTAACAAATTATCGAATTAATTTCATAACATTTATGATTTTTTTTGTGATTTCATTGAATTAATATTAAAATTTAAGAAAAAAAAATTCTAATTAATGATTTTTTTAAAAAAAAAAGAAAGCTGTGTTTTAAAAGAAATTTATTGTTTAATTCCATTAATAATATTTAAATTTTAATTCTGTATAATATTGTCTTTCACATCTAACATTTATGTAATTAATATTCAGGGTGCATTTTGATTTATGTATTTTATAATTACAAATGTAAACGACAGTTTTTTTTTGCAGCAATTTCAGCAGGTAACATTATATCATCAATGTTTTATTAATTTCTTGAAAGAGTAAATTGTCCAGATATTAGTTATCAATTATCACTCGTTATCACTGAATGATGCTTGATCAGATTGAATGGTGTAGTCAAAGTATACATGCTGAAAAATTTTTAAATTTATTAATGATGCTCGAATTTCATAGTTCTTTCATTGCATTGTATTATATTGATTCAAAGTGATTTATTTATTCCAATATTATGTCAGTATTTATTCCGGTTTTATATCAGTATTCCGGTACTATGTCACCGTATTATTTTTCTTCATGCTTCATTTCTGCTAAATAAATTTGTTTTATGGACTAAATTGTCCGTGCATATAAATTTTCTCTAAATTACAAATCAAACAACTATCAGATAAAGAATTATTAAACTGATAGATGCTCTCACCTAGCTATATATATGTATTTTTCTTTTTGATTAATTAAATATGAACTTATAGCTGTATTACTATTATTATTATTATTACCTATAATTTTGAAATAATATTTCAAAATAATAAATTCTCGGGATGCTAGGGATGCTGAATTTTGATTATGAAGCGGCTTTTTTCGTTGGCTTTTTGTCATGCGCATTATGTCCAACGGATGGCGATAATGCACTTATGGCAGTTTCATGTGATTTAGATTCGGAAATTGCTTTTCTGAAATAAACATGAAAAATAAGAAAGAGAAAAAAGAAAAAAGAAGGAAATATATAATTAATTATCTTACGTTGGTGTTGGTGTTGCTATGTGTTTTTTAATTTCAGTATTTTGTGTTGTTGAAGGAAATTGCAATTCGGTTTTAACACTTTGTGATTTTTGCTCGGTTTTTTCTGTTATCTGATGAATTGTTTTGTGATCTAGAATTTAATTTAAATGTAAATTTCTTAATCAAATTTTTTGCACTGTTATACATTTTCATTTACATTGATTAATCTTTTAGTCAAACAATTCTTCCATCATTTCATTTTAATTCAATTCATTCCTTTTGCTATAAGGAAAAAAAAAACAAGAAAAAAAGAAAGAAAATGGTGATGAATCATCAATTTTTAAAAAAATAATTTCTTTCAAAAAAAAGAATTAAATATGCAAACAAAAATGATATTGATAAAATGCTCCAAAATAATGCTAAAATTAATATTAAAAAATTTGAAATGAAAATGAAAAAGAATTACTTGTTTCAGTAGGTTCAGTAATAGGACTACTTTGATTACTAATCACTGCTGTGAATTGATTTTCATATCTTGTCAGATAGTAGCAGTCAACATCGTATGGTTTGTCGTTGTAAAGAAGATACATACCATCTTGTGAAAAAAAAAAAAAAAAGAAAAGAAAAACTTTTTTGCACTTTTAAATTAAATTCAAAAAAAAAAAAAAAAGAAAACGGAAATTCTGAAAGCCTATTGAATGATAAAATATCTTTTCTTCTTTTTCGTCTTCTTCACTTTACTTTTATAATATATATCAATATTTTTCACAATATTAAAATGATATTATCAATAAATGATTAAAAAAAAAAAAAAAAACTTTCAAATTTAAATAAATTAGATATAATATAATTACTTTCAAAAGGTGAATGACATTTGGTACATACAAAACAACATCTATGCCAATATTTTTTTAATGCTTTTACACATGTTTCGCGTAAAGATTTATTGCAAGCTGTGTGAAATTAATTTTATGAAAAAATATCACAATTTTAAAAAATTTTTAAATTTAAGAAAAAAACAAAAATCTTGATAATTTGCTTAATTTTGATTCAAAAAAAAAATGAGTATTTTAATAGATCGTTATTCGTTTTCGTTTTTTTTTTTTTTTAATAATTTTTTTATAAAAAAAAAAAAAAATATTTTTACCAAATATTTGTAAAATAAATAATTAAAATAATTATTTGCAAATAACCGTAACATTTTGGATGAAATTCTTCCATATAACAATCCATGCAAATTGGATAATTGCTATTATAACGATATTTCCGGAATGGTCGACCGTCAAAACCAACGATGCATTTACAGTGAATGCATGTGAAATGTTCTCGATGCCATATTTTATTCAATGAATAAATTACGTTGCGCTTAAATAATTGAAATAAATATTTTCATGATTTGAATTAATTTTATTGATTAAAATTAACTAAAAAAAAATTTTATTTTGAATGATTCTTTTTAACAATGATAAATAAACATTTCAATGGATAATTTCCTTTTTTTCTTTAAACAATTACAATAATAGTAATAATGGGACAATATTTTTCCTTTTTTTTTTTGCTATATTATATAAATTAGTAATTTACTAAGTACACTTTTTCTGTTTCTAATTTTAAATTTTAGTTTAGGATTTTTAATTCTTTAAGAAAATCTCTAATGTTTTATTTCATTATTTATTATGTTTTTTCTTTCTTTGTTTTTTAAATTAATTGAAAAAAAAAAGTTAATTAACAAATTTATAGTTTCAGCTTATGAATTGTTTTAAAAATTTCTATATATATTTTAAATTTTAATATATGATATTCATCTTTTGAAGATTTCATGATTTTTCTTTTATTTTAAACTATACCATCAGTGCTTGCTTGCGTGTGACCGGTTCATTGCAACTATTACACCGAATCAACCATCTACCTTCCGGTTTTTCCGGCAATTCATTTGATGTTAATAGGGTTAAACCGGAGGTTTCAAAAATTTTTGAAATAGAATTCGAATGGCTTCTTCCAATTTCAGCTTTACTTTGCATTTTGTATTCTAAAATGACAATAATTTCCAACGATAATTTATCATATCTCTGACAATTGCAATGAATTACTTTAGCCTTTTTTGTTACTGATAATCGATGAAAATAATTTTATGAATACTAATTAAATTTCCTTAGAATAGAAATTCTAATTCTAATAAAATTTAATTGTTTTCATAAATTCATTCAATAGCCTTATCATCCTTTTATACCATTTCATAAAGGTAAAATTTAGAAAAAAAAAGAAAAACAGCCAACCGATAAAGGAAAATTTTTCATCAATGAACTATCTGTGCTACATTCTCCTCTTTAATATGTTAATTTTAATTAAATGAATCAAAAATATGAAAATTGAGTCTGCAACAGCTAATTGGATTTAAAAAATTTTTTAATTCCAAAAGATTTTTTTTAAGGAAAATTTTAATTTTTTTTCTTTAATTTTAATCTTCCATCTTTTTTTAGACTATTTTATACCATATTTTTTTTCAAAGGAATAAGGTATATAATTGGATAAACCAAACAAAAAAAAATTTTCTTTTTAATTCTTTTTGTTATTGTTATGCTTCAATTTTAAGCTTAACTCAAAATTCTTAATTCTTATTTTCATTAATTAATTATTTCAACTCTTTTTGCTCTAATATTTTAAAGAAACAAAAACAAAACAAAAAAAAAAAAAAAGGGAATTCTAGTGAATTTTTCAAAATAAATGAATTTGTTGAACAGAGAAACAGCTGTATAATGTATTTGATTTATTGTATAATTTTAAAGCATGATGATATATACAGAGGCAATGTATTTCTTGCTATTTCATTTATTTTCTTCCACCAAATGCGCCTCATTTATTTGCCTACTCAAAATGCGCCATTTATTTTTCGTACTTTTAGATTTCGTTTTCAATTTTTTTTTTTTTCTTCCTTATCTTTCTTTATTCATTTCATTTTTTTTTTCCTTTTTTCTCTTCATTGCAATTTATTAATAAATTATGAATTATGGTTGAATTTTTATTATTAAATAATCTTATCTTCTAATATATTCATACTAATCATTATTAATTCAAAAAAAAAAAAAAAACTAAATATTATTATTTAAATATTCTAGTGTTCATCAAATATTTTTCGGTCATCTTATCGCTGTTCTTGAATAAATCATTTTCTTGCCTTTCTTTTTTTTTTTTTTTTTTTTCTGTTTTTTTTTTTTTTGCTCTTTCATTTAAGCCTTTTCTGATGAACGCAACTTTAATTGCAATTGACTTAATTTATTCGTATTTAAAATATGAAACTTTATTTCAATTCATTTCTTTAGTTAGCAACAAAATGTTCCAAATTATCTTTTTCATACCACTCATCATTGCAATTTCCGGAACAAACAATGGTATCCATATTTGTATTTTTTTTTCTGTTTTCCAAAAACTTTTAATTCTTTTTTTTTTTAATAATTTATTTTTTCTTAATGCAGAAATAATAATAAAGATAAGAAATATAGAAAGTGTAGATAACTGAAACTATTACCAGAATTAATCTTTAAAATTTATTTCTTAGAAATTTGCATCATAAAAGAAATGCAAAAAAAAAAAAAAACTATATTTTCTTCAGTGATAAAGTGATAAATAAATTATGAGCTTTCTAACCTTTATTATTTTAGATTGTTATGATATAGGTACATCTTGTAACAAAAGAATATGCACAAAATTTCCGCAATTTGCTCGTAACAGTTGCGCTAAAACATGTGGTTTTTGTGGTTCCACTAATTCAGGTAATAATTTTTTAAAAAATGCAGGTACTTATTAAAATTGTTCCCAAATGAAAAATTGCAATAATAAAATTTATTAAACATAGTAATACAATCAAAAATTATTTAGAAATTGCAAATATCTATAAGGTATATAAATTTTCAGATACTTCGTCTAGCAGTAGTGCTAGCAAATCAGATGTATGCTATGATAAGGATTCTGATTGTTCAAATGAAATTTGTCAAAATTATCCATACACAGCTAAAGAACGATGTCCTAAATTTTGTGGCTTATGCAATGATTCATTATCAGGAAATAGCGGTCATTTGTCATCAGTGATCTCATCGTCACATCAGCAAAGTTCATCACTGAAAAGTGATATGATTCAATCAGCAATCATTGATAAAGGTATTAATCATTATTGATTTATGCATGAAGAAAGAAAAGAAGAACGATTGTAAAAAAAAAAAAAAAACCATTAGATTTTTTTTTTAATTTTTAGGAATAGAAAATGTTGAATTGTGTTATTCATTCTTATGTTATTATTATTGAAGAATTTGTCTACATATATTTATACACCAAGATAAGCTTTCCAAATTGAAAATTTTCTTCAATAAAAATAAAAAATATACATGCATTATTTTTTTTTTGTTTTTTTAAAAAATTTAAATCAAATTTTTTTTTATTTAAATTAGTATCAATTAATCAATTTCGCATGTTGCAAAAGAGCTGGCGCATTTGTCTGATAATACACTTTGAGTAATATTTCAAATTATCCAATTAAATTGTGAATGAAAATTTACATTTCTTTTTTTTTTCCTTTTTTTTTTTTTTGCAGAAAGAAAATTATCATCACTATGCATTGATAAGGATTATGATTGTACCAAAGAAATTTGCCATAATTATCCATTTACGGCAAAAGAACGATGTGCCAAAACATGTGGCCTATGTTCTGGCACATCAGGTATAGCTAATTTAGGTAATCATACAACTATGGAAATAAGTAAATCTAAAGGAATTTCATCATTACCGCTTAATCGAGGTGATAATTTATATGTTTAAATAAAAAAAATTTTTTTTTTCCTTTTATAATTATTTATTTATTAAGGAAAAATTTTTTGAAAATTATACATTCAAAATACAATTATGATATTTTTTTAATTTTTTAAATTAAATTAAATTAAGCCATGATAACTTTTAATAAATAAAATATATACAAATGATTTAGAATTATCAATTTTTACTTAATGTGAAATTTTTGTTAGCTTTACAGAAACTGAAAATGTTCCCTTAAATGGTCATTTGTGTTTTGACAAAAATATTAATTGCAAAAAAGAAATATGCCATAATTATCCATTTACTGCTAAAGAACAATGCGCCAAAACATGCGGTTTTTGTAGTGATAATGAAGGAATCATTCCACCACTGCCACCTTCCTTATCAGGTATATCTATTTTACTTGCCATATCATATCATATCATTAACTTATTAGACATTTATTTGGTTTGGCTTTTCCTTTTTTCCTTTTTGGAAGTAACATTTTATTGTTTAATAATGCAATCAATCATTAAATTTCCTTTTCAAGTTTTTTTTATTATTATATATTTATTAATATTATTATTATGTTTTAAGTTTTTCAAAGATTTCACTCTAAAATTTATTTCCTAATTTCATATTATTTAATCTAAAATGTAATTATTTGTTCAGATAGTACTGTCATATTGTCGTAATCCATTTTTTTACTTTTACATCTCACATATTAGTCCTTTTTTTTTATTTGCGTATAGTTATATTTGTTCGTAGTTTTTCTTTTAATCTAATTCACATTTTGGTTAGGCATAACATTCGAACAATTCGAGCAAAGCAAATTACTTTTCTTAATTAATATTTACTTCCTTTTAACAGTTTTTATCATAAATGACATTAGCATAATTAATTCGATTTATTTGTTCATTTTTTTATCATTTATAATAAATTATTCAATTTGATGATATTCTTTTCCAATCAATGTTATATCTTTAAGATTGGATATGTAAATTTGAGATTTATTCTTCATTAACTATTGAATAACAGTCTTTTTTTTCTAAAAAAAAAAGGTAAAAATGAATTTTTCCCTATTTACTTCAAGGCGGAATCATTCGTATTACAATTATATTATTAAAAAATTAAATATAGCCGCTATCTCAGTAATACTCTTAATTTATTTATTCATTCGTTATGCTTTTTTTTATTTATCCATTTCTCAATAATCCCTTAAACACAGCAATTGTAAATTTGGAAGATTTAGGATGTAAAATAGTTAATGAATGTTTGTCATAAATAATTTGATGGGGTCTTTTTTCACATGTGAAATGCTAATAAATTTGACTTCACTTTTAAAATTAAGAATTAGAATGCATTAAGTTGCACTTAACAATTTTACAAAGATTACCATTTCATTGCTAGGGAATAGTAGCATTAGAATGAATATTATTAAGCATTTTCATACATTTTCTGCAGGAAATAATTCCAGTATTTCATTAATTTATTAAATCTTTTTAGTATGCATGCATACAACAATGTTGCTAAATTATGTTCTAAATTTCACATTTCTAATTGAATTGTAATTGAAAAAATCAGAAATCAATTAGTCGTAGACATGAATTTTAATTCGATTATAAATCTATGTCAGTGTTAATTTTTTCCAAAAAATTCAGGAAACAAACCATCAGCAACAGCTGAAGATTGTAGAGATGAGAATTCCCATTGTTCGGAACAATCATGTTTGGATTATCCATGCAAAGCACGTAGAGAATGTGCTAAGACTTGCGGGTTTTGTGGTGAAAAATGCTCGATATCCGACCTGAAACCCACTCCGGATAATTTGGAAAACGAAGGTAGCATAATCACTCTCGATGATGATGACGACAGTGATGACGATGATGCCGGTAGAAGAAGCTTCATACAATCAACAGCGACATCAGGACATCACTCAATTTCCAGAACTGGTTATGAGTCCAGCGACAAGCGAAATGACCTAATTCATGGAAGGTCAGGACATCGTCCTACCCAAGGAATTGGTGATGGATCCATCGGTAAACGAACTGACTCAATTCGCAGAACGCTAGGACAACGTCCAATTTCCGAAATTAGTGATGGATCTACTGGCAAACGAACTGATACAATTTCTGATACATATGTGCAACAGCCAACACCGCACAGAGAGCGGAGCAGATATCCTGGTAGAACAGGTACACATATTATTTTGAAAGTAATAGTAGCACTAAAAAGTTTGCTAAAAGGAGTTAGTTACTTTTTTGGTCAAGAGATAAAATGTTTGAGGTAGGAAAAATACTTGAAATTGAGATTATAATTGTTGAACTTTTATATTTCTAATAATTTCAAAACTTTTCTATGTTATATGTATAATGAAATCTAATTTCCTTCAGGCCCATGTAGTGATGAAAATCAATATTGTGAGAAGGAAGATTGCTATAAGTATCCAAGATTTGCTCAACGATACTGTGAAAAAACTTGCGGTTATTGTTAAACAATTAGTGAATAATTATACTTCACTTCTGGACTGATAATGTGAAGAGCAAGAAATAATTGAGAAAATTGCCATATTGTAATTTATTTATAAAATAAAGATATTAACTGCATAATTATGTACATAGAATTGCAAAAAATGATACTTTAAGAAGCAAAGTATTAACACTTAAGGCTTAAAGCAGCGAATTTAGATAATGTCTTATGGTTATATTCATGATGTAACATAGAATAATAGTCAGTTTATGAAAATATACTTCTTTGTAACAAATGTATCTCCAACTGTAGGAGAAAAAAATGGGGAAGAGATATTACATAAGGGACAAGTGAAATTAAAAGCAATGAAGAGTAAAATAATGAATTAAAAGCTTCTCAATTTACTTAATGAGTAAATTGAGCCTTTAATTTTAGCACCAATTTTAGTAAGTAATTTTAGCATTAATTTTAGATAAGGATTAAAACAAAGTACAAATGTATTCTATAAGATTACCCTTTTTAAATAATCATATAGATCTGATTAAATTTTGGATAATCGATCGCCCTTTTTAACTCTAATATTATCTTTTTTGGAGGAGCAAAATTTTAGCAATAATCAACGTAGCTACATTCATGCAAATGTATATCCTAACAAAAATCCAGCACCATAACTACCCAATAAATATGCGTTGTTTCGCAGAAAATCATTTACCTGCAAAAAAGAATTCAAAAAGAAAAATGAGTGGGTTAAGTTTATCCATTAAGAGAGATAGTTGCTATAACAGAACTTAGTTTGATCCAAATGTAGAAAGTCCTAAATGAATAAGTTTGATGTACTTGAGGTTAAATTACTGTCAAGAGTAGGCAGCACTTTAAAAAAACGAATTCCTGTCATTGTCTTTTTTTTTTTTTTTTTTAAGTGTGCCATGTAGTTAAATCCCAGTAAAACTAAGACAACATTGTTTTAGCTTAATAAATTCGTAAAATTTATTAAAAAAAAAAAGAAAAACTCACTTCGCCCTCTGCTACACTGCTTCTATTGCTCGTTACTCGCGTAATATCTTTACGCAGCCGTTCAATATCACGTCGCAGTTTTGACTGATTGATTTTGATATATCCTCGAGAATTACAAAACTGAAATTTACCATTCCCGATTAATAATGTTTCTATTTAAATCAATTGGTCAATCAACTGGATATCAGTTATCAATCTGTCAAGCATGTAAACTCCCAGTTAAACTAATAAAGAAACCTTGATCAGTTCTGAATAAAAGAAACTGTTGCGGAATTACCTTTTCTTTCTTTCTTGTTCTAAAATTGTCCGCAATAACAATTCAGAAAAATTTTGTGCTAAGAAAGTGCTAAAGAAATTAATTTCGTTTTCCTTCCATTTTTTAGAAGATCAATGCAAATCGTCAAATTAAAGTATGCCAAATAACAGCTGCCTAGTTAAATCAAAAAACAATTAGGAAAGACAGAGATCTAAGAAAATAATAACTTACTGACGAGGAAATTTCTGATGATTACATAAGAAACTCCATAACAAAGAAATAACTGAACATAAAAAAGCATTCAAGCAAAACAATGTAATTTCGAAACTGTTATTCAATGCAATGTAAAGACGTAGAAATTACTACAGTACTTTATTGGAAAATGCTGCAATGGTATTAAAAATGATTTGATTACATTATTTACTATATGTTTAATAAATTATCGTTGTAAGCAAAGTTGAAAATATGCAAAAAGATGCAAGACTGTAAAAGGAATATACAGAACGAATAAGAAGTGCAAAAATGAAATTAGTTCAACCACGAAAGGAAAGTAATTTTGCTAACTGCTATGTTCCATCTTTATTGCATTCTTCCACTCAAGAGAGACAATTAAAAAACTATGGAGAATGAATAACAAAGAACTAAATGTAAATCATACACAAAAAGTGTTTGTTTCTTAAAATTTGTCGGAGGTTCAAAGTAACCGGAAAAGATGACCAATAAATTTAAGGAATCCAAAACATTTTGTAGACTATGATTTCTTGTGAAACAGGTGGAATATTTTATTTGTACGTTCATGTGAATCTTTTTAATTAATCCTTAATCAAGATTGTTTGCTACTTATTGTCGCAAAATTTTTGCAAATCAAATTCGAGAATCGCTGATACGCCTACGTCAAACGATTACTTATTTTTAACGCTTTTATCTTTAAGACCTCTGCGGTACATGATATAAAAGAAAAGGGTAGGGCAGAACCAACGCAGAAAGATAGCAAAACGATGGCTTAATGGTGCAAGAATCAATTCTGTGTTTCGATTTATGAGAGCATTTATGATGCATTCAGCCGCATAACTCGGTGTGAGCCCATTTGCTTGGTTAAGATCATCCTTATCCATCGGTTTACCTTCGGTAGTAAGCGCGCGACGTCCAAAACCTGTATTCAAATAAGTCGCACTTACAACGAGAATCTGCGTCTTAAATCGTTCTTCAGTCCGTAAACAATCGAAGAAAGCCTGCAATTCGATTAGCATTCCAATATGCTCCCATTAAAATATCGGTACTCCTAAATCAGAGCGTTCGATGTTTTCGAATATTTATCACAAAAGTTTAGCAATTTTGTGAAAAAATGATAAAAGCACACAAAACCGAAACCATAAAATCTATTTCATAAATTGCAGAAAAAGTACAAGACGGAAATAAAACGTAAACGAAAACGCACCTGAGCAGCGTGTTTACTAGCTGAATAAGAACTTCGATATGGTACAGCAATGCGACCTTGTACGCTGCTTATATATACAATTGCTCCATCTTCCGGAATATAATCAAGCAGTGCTTTAGTTATTGCAACGTGACCAAAGTAATTAACTTCCATTACCTTAAACATATTTTGCTAAGGATTCACTAAGACTTGGGAATTGAAACAAAGAAGGAAAAAACTTACTAAATTGATTACTTCAAACAACAATTCATAAAGGAGAATTATTCTACAACCGTTAGTTGCCTATAGTTTTAGAAATCTTCTTTTATTAAAAAAAAAAAAATGAAACATTAAATGTACTGAAAGCTAACCTGCCGATGCACATCCACAGGCGTATCTTTGCAACTTCCACGCATGCTTAAACCTGCATTATTAATAAGAACATCAATCCGCTGATTGATGGCAAACGAGACAAGTTCTACAACGCCATTTGGATCGGTAATATCCAGGTATTTATAAACTGGTTCATTATTATTGATAACATCTTGCAATGATTTTAGCTCTTCACAGAGTTCCTTCAGCTTATCAATACTGCGTGCTGTTAAAATCACTTTAGCACCTCTTCGATAAAAACAAATCGCTAATTCTCGACCAAGACCCGAACTGGCTCCAGTGATTAATACAGCACGATCACGCAGATCAAGTTTCGAGCGGTGCTGTGGCCCAGGTATCAGAAAACGAAAGAAACGATTAGCAGCGTAAAGGCCGACAGGTAGTACAACATAATGAATATATGGTTTTATGGCGGCAATCAAATTTGTTGCACGCTCACTGGATTGATCCATTTGACTGGTGATAATATTAGTGATAGTGGTGAATGGCTCTAGAAACACAAATAAAATGGTTAAAAGATCTATTTCAAAGAGTGAGGTGACGCTAGAGACAGAATATCACGTTACAATGATATTACATGAACATAATGCAATACAATCAAAGTGAATTTCAGATATGTTGAAGGTATTGAAACAAATAAAGTACGAATTAAGCATGAGAGATATTAATCATGAAGTTTACTGTGCGACTATGGCAGCTGCTACATGACATCCGGAATATAGCTATCCTATTATATCATACTCCATGCCAAAACAACTGTAAAATCTCAGCATTTGTTTGAAAAAATATCGATTGATTATGTCCCTTAAAAGAAGTAAAAAATATCGACCAGAAAAAGAAATATGAAAAACCTGGAGTAAAATCAAAGAGCACCCAATAACACCTGCTACTATTTTGCTTCCCTTCGTGAACACATATCCTGTTATCCTGAAATATTACTAAATAATACATAAAAATCATATTATATTTGAATAAAAAGTTTGTTAGTGAAACATATGAATTATGGAAATTATGAATTGGTGGAACTGAAAAGTTCCCGTTTCTTTTACTCTAACAAATCGTTCAATAAATACTGCGAAACAAATTGTCAATAATTTCACAAATGCATCACCAAATAAAAGAGAATTACCTATATTTGGCTTCTTCTTTTTTATCAACTAACACCTGAGTCGATAATCTATGATGCAATGATTAACATTTTGATCACAAAAAATTACCAGTATTAAATATATATATAGATATGTAGAAAAAAAAAAAAAAACACTTGCCATCCGGCAGCAGACCCAATGCAAATTTGAATAGGAACTGGTTTATCCTGGATACCATTAATGAAGATGACCGCTCTACCAAATGTATTTGAGAAATAAGTGGAAGGATGTGATGAATAATTTGTTCCCATCAACAATTTATCTTTACCAATAACTGCATTTTCTGCTTTTTCCAATAATTCGTTAATTAGAGTCATGCTAATAATGTTCAAAATTTCTGGAAAACATTAGAATTATAATAATTACAATACAGTACTTGAAACAATTTTTAGAATTATGATAACTATTCCATTCCTGAAAATTATCACTGAATAAACTCGTTAGGCTAATCGATAACTTATCACCGTCCCTTCGACTGAACTCTCAATGACTGCTTACCTCCCGAATACCTGGGAAAACCATAAAATGAATGCATCTCCACGAAACTTACAACCTTAATCGATTCTTTTACCATTTCACTTAACAATTAAATATCAAAATGCATTCATTACGCGCTATGATTCCCCTCCCATCACTACTCTTGTGTGTTATTTCGTCCGTTTTCTTACTCTCTCCGTCAGCAACATTTATTGCTATCTCCTTTTTTCTCCCAATCTCTGACAAACGTTATGTAGTATTTGTTATCAGTCTTCCTAACTCAGCGTCTCTTGTTATTTCGCATTTTTCATTTTTCTCTTCTACTCTCATTTTATAATGTATACTTTTGGTTGCGTCGAATTTCGCTGATGGATTTCTCACTCCACTTCCTGTCTTTTTTTGCCTTTTGAAGTGGTCACTCTCGCCTTAGTCCCATCAGTCACTCTCACTTCGATCCTACTAGTCATTTTCAGGTTGACCCCATCGGTCACTCACTTCAATCCTACTAGTCTTCTTTACGTCAGTTCTACTGGTCCATTATTCTTGTTTCAATCCAACTTATTACTTTTATCTCATTTTTGAAGTCTTCTAGCTTTCTCAAACATGTGCTCACCGTTAATCGTAATATCAGTGCATTGCTGAATTCTATGCAGTTTTCAGCAAAGATACATTAACGATGGAAAAAATAAGAATGAAACGTCCGAATGCAAATGATACCGAAGAAGATTTATTCAGAATGCAGAAAGAGGTATTCCTCATTATTCATTCATGCACGACCACCTTTAGATCTTGTAATTCATACCAAATTGATTAATTAAAATTGCAAAATAATCTTGGTATTTGTATAAGCTTTCAATTAGTAATAATTTTGGAAATTAAAAAGTATGTAATGAAATTCGTGTTATTCAGCACTAGGATTTATTACTTCTAAAGTCGTCTTGTTCATATTTCTTGACATGATATTTGATTTTTGGATAGTTGAAATCAGTTCGACATTATTTTTCAGTTAATAATTTGATGGAAAGAAATTAGTCGAGGATTGTATAGTATCTAGAATAAAAAATATGTAGAGCAAATTGGATGGATGGGAGTCATTTCATTTATTTATTTTTTTAAAATCACAATTTGTAAATTTTAATTAGTCATACGAATGAAAAAGTATTGTGTTGCAGATGCTCAATAGAAAATGCAAGGGACAGGTTCATATTAATAACAATTCATTTGCTGCCAACAATTGGCAAATTGACAAACCAGCTGGTCGTTTCTGTCTCGATCTTGACTCTTTAGATGAAGAGAAAGCAAGTATCATGGAACTTACTGTGCAGGTAACGCTTGAATTTTGTTAGACAAATATGCAAACTTTTAATACTTTTCTCTCTTTTCATGTTCTTTTAATAGTTATAGCATTGCTGTGGAGGTTATTTTATGTTAGTTTTCTCGAAATAATGAGTTACTGCATGATTTGTCATACTTTATCTTTTTGAAAGAGCTCTTGGGATTTTGACTTTAGCTCAGGTCTTGGATTGAACCATTAAATTCTCCATCATTAATTCGTTACTTTAGTCTTAAATTTTGTTCCAGGAACGGAATGTAGAGTTGTTCCATAAAATTGACCAGTTAGATGACTGTTCAAATCTAATAAATTGTGGTCAATATGCGGAAGAAGAAGGATTTCCAGATATCTTGGATCTTTCTAGGTAGATAGTTTTCTTAGTATACTTTTCTTCAGAATTTAAGCTAATACTCATGCATGATAGGTTCTTTTTTTTTTTTTTTTTTAGTCGAATGCAAGTAAGCGCATTAAAGTTGAGAAAGATTTCTGTATTATTTATTATCTTTCAGGTATTATGATGGTCTCAATAGCTCTGTAAAAAATTTCTCAGCAAGTGGCGAAAGTTTTTTTGCACTAGAGTTTGATAGGATCCACGGTAGTATTGATGGTAAGATGTTTTATATATATATATATTACAATAAGTTTTTGTGGACATGAAGTTTTCTGCCATTTTTTATTCATTTTTTAAATTTCTGAAGGCATAATAAACAGTTTTTTTTTTCAATTTTGGTTCATGTTATAGATTATGATAGAGCTGAAGCTCTATCTTCAGCTTCTCAGAAATCGATCAACGACATCAGTAGAGAAATTGAGCTCGAAAACTTGCAAAGAATAGAGAAGATGAGTAAACAAGAGGTTGAGAAAGCGAAACAAGAAATTGTGGAACGTTTTGGTAAATTTTTGGTGTAATGTATATTTAGAGAAAATAGGAAAATGGAATGAAAAAATCAGCAGATGACAAAAAAAAAATGAAGTAATATCAATAAAATGGTATAAAATTTGTGCATTTTTGGGTTTTAGATCCAAAATTACTGGACTTCTTGCGAAGCAGAACAAAAAAGAGACAACAGTGGAAGGAGAATAAAGTTGAACCAAGTATAATTTTATGTCTAATTTATAATTTATGCCTGAATAAATATTCTTAAGTGTTCGATATGAAAATGCTCTTCTCTGAACACTTTCTCTTAGAATCAGAGTAATGGTTCTAGAATCAGAAGCAGTCTTTGTAGACAGTAATACTTCTCGGCTAATTAAGGATTATGTAGAACATTTGTTTTGATAACAGTACAGTGAAACAGTTTGTTATGGTATGCTTTCATAGAGCAATAAATTAATGGATCTTGATTTCTCTTATAAAGGATGGCTTTTTTTCTTATATTTATTTTTTTATACTTGAAAAGAATTTTTCAATAGGAGGTGTATTTTTCTCTTTTTTTTTTATTAACCCACAAAGAAGTGATTCACTTAATTAATCGCATGAAATGTCACAAATATTTGAACTAATTGTATTTTATTTATGTTTATTTCCTTCGTTGATATAGAGGATAAATGTTGGTTATATACTCATTCAACCCATTTTTATTGTTAGAAATATTTGTTGCATGTTGCTGTTTTAGTTCCAGTACCTCGGCAGACAAAAAAACCAACTGATGCAACAGTTTGTGCTAGTACAGATCAGGAAGTTACCAAGCAAATCAAAGAGTTACAAATATTTGATTTAGTACAAAATGATCCAACATTTCATAAGGACTCAACAAATAAACTGGATGACTCGTACATACGATTAGCAGCGGTAAATTTTGTCAGATTTTCTATTTCAGGCTTTGTTAAGATTATTACGCTGTTCTGTGGTATGATTTGTTATGTGATACCAAAAATAGTCAGTAATCAAATATCAGTTTTTTCGGGAAAAGAGAAATTCTTAATCTCAAATGTTGATTCCTTTTCCCAGTGTTCAAAATGTATTATGAAATTGCTTGAGAAACTTTCCTGTGGGTTATTTAAGGTTGGTTGCATAATTGTTCCCATCTATAGATTAAACTAGCACTTTCTGAAGTTCCAGCTAATTGCAAGTTAACAAGCAGTGGAACTTGATAACATTTGAACAGCAAAGAAATTGTGATTAGAATTTGCGGTATTGTTTTTACAGGATGCAGCACAATTGGACATGGCTACGAAATGCATGCGCACAATATTGCCACGACAGCAGCAAAATTTAATCAGGCTGTTCGATAATTTGCGATTTCCACCGAAGTATCTAGAGTTTTTAAATACTCTGGCCGTTTTCTTGAATAAATTCAATAGAAATGAGTGGTAGTATGTTGAAATTAAAGAAAATTATCTTCCAATCTTTTTCAGTAAAATCACTTCGAATATGGACTCCACTGTAATTTCCAAAGTTTCGCAATCGTATTTTAAGTTTTATTGCTTGTTAATTAGTGACCTAATCAAACACTGCAGGGATTATGCTGGTGATGATGTTTTGTTGGAGAAG